CAAAGTTGTGCCACAAATGGCAAGTGTATGCAGACATAATTCATGTTCCTCCAATCCTTTGAATGTTATGAATTCCCCGTGGCCGTTTGTGATGTGGGGAATTGATATGATTGGAAGGATTGAACCAAGTGCTTCGAATGTCCATAGGTTCATTCTAGTGGCTATTGATTATTTCACCAAGTGGGTGGAAGCAGCTTCTTACAAGAATGTAACCAAACAGGCCGTTACCAACTTCATCAGGAAATAAATCATATGCCATTACGGAGTTCCTCACAGAATCATCACTGACAATGGTTCTAATCTTAAAAACAACATGATGAAGAAGTTGTGTAAAGAGTTCAAATTTGAACATCACAATTCATCACCATATCGACAAAAGATGAACAGTGCAGTCAAAGCTACTAACAAGAACATAAAGAAGATCGTCCAGAAGATGGTCAGAACATACAAAGATTGGCATGAAATGTTGCCTTTTTCTATGCATGGCTACATAACGTATGTGCATACTTCAACAGGGGCAACTCCATTTCTCTTGTCTATGGTACGGACACAGTGCTTCCTGTCAAAGTAGAAATTCCTTCATTGAGGGTTCTGATGGAAACCAAGCTTGATGAGGCAGAGTGGGTTCAGATAAGATTTGACCAACTCAATCTGATTAACAAAAAGCGCCTGGAAGCCATTTGTCATGGCCAGTTGTACCAACAGAGGATGAAAAGAGCATTCAACAAAAAGATTCGTCCTCAAAAGTTTTATCCTGGTGATTTAGTCTTGAGAAAGGTTATCGTGCAAAGCCATTACGATCCAAGGGGCAAATGGACTCCCAATTACGAGGGAACATATATCATGAAGAGATCCTTTTCAAGAGGTGCTATAATCCTGACAGACATGGATGGGGAAGACGTTCCACTCCCAGTCAATCCAGACTCAGTCAAAAAATACTACGCCTAAAGAGACCCGCTAAGTCGAAAACCCAAAAGGGCGATTTAGGCAAAAATGGGAATCCCGGTGGACATGAAAGTCTACGCAAAAATTAGGGATAAAACGAAAAAAGATAATAATCCGCTAGGTTGAAAACCCGAAATGGCGACTTAGGCAAAAAATGGGTATCCTGTAGGGTCGAAAACCCGAAAGGGCGATCCAAGTAAAAGTTAGGGATCTTAAGCGAGAGGCTGTAGTCTGAATTCTCTTCACGAATGACACGTGCACATCTATAGCACCTTGGCAGCGAATTTATTGGTCCAACTGCTACTCTTCATAGGCAAGGCATTGGGACTACTGAGGATATGGGAACTGTAGTAATACTGATTTTAATGGAAATTCGAGCATCTCTCATTGCCATTTATACGTGTTGTATTTTACATTTCTATTTCGTAGCTACCTCATATAGGAGTTGCATCCTTGTACAAATTCCTATTCACGGGCCAATCAATAAAGTTTGTTTTCATCAAAAAGTTGTCTCTTACTATCATAAAATGCTTTTCGTATGCAGAATGTGTTTTATTTGTTATTAAACATTGCATTAGAAACATGGGGAATAAAGATTCTCAAGCCGAGATAAAACTTAACTTTACATCGATATATAACCATAAGGGAGTGTCGTATGCATTCCAAGTGTTTTTCTCTTTGCAGGCGGCAATTTATAACGGTCACCCTGACCTGGCCAGGCCACAAAGCTGCCTTCAACCACTACAGACAATTTCAAACCTGAGTCCCCAAGTGAATTCAGAAAGTTCAGAGTCGACGTTTGACTCAGCACGTGCAAGTGCCTCCCCATTGGAGTAAACTGGGACATCCCTAGTGGAGCTAAACTGGGGCATTCGCAGAGCTAAACCGGGGCATTCGTAGGTGTCCATGCCCATCTTTTATCCCCGAGTGATTTAAGAGATGATTCCCCAGTGTGGCGTAAACTTGGGGCATATATTCAGAGAGATTCATATGGTGTTCAGTGACCATTATTCAACATATTCAGTTATACCATCCTCCAAAATGTTCAGGATGCAGGGAAGTCTGGCCAGATTATCTCTTCCCCAGAAACATAATTCATAATTCAGTAGCGTGCCTGAAGACTCGCTTCGTCAGCAATCCAGTCTTCAGTAGAGTCATCAATAATCTGCGGTATTGTGAGCTCCCCCAGTGCGAATTCTTCCCAGTATCCCCAACAATCTTTGGTACTGCAAGTTTCCATCGCCAGTACGTATTGGCATCCCCAGTGCTGAGCAACAACTCCCAATGAGCCTTCGCTTATCCCATGAAGTCTATTTCTTTGCATTGCATATAGTTATCATTACATAACACTGCATCTTCAAAAGCGCGTAGCAGATCCATCATAATGGGTCTTCGCGGCAAAAGAAATTCAAACATGCATACGAAGCATAAGCTAGATCAGGTACCTTACACAAAAGACCTGAATCATTCAAGGACAATAATACACCCCCACAAGAGAGTATTTCTTTTAAAATCCCCAGCTGGTGACCTTCATCCTTCGAATCCCAACCAATGCAATAAATTTGGTCATTCTCGCATCTCCAATTATCGTGTCGTGACCAATACTCCCACTTTCTTAGAATTGTAGGTCGCCCATAGACCTAGTTTTTGGTAGACTGGCCGTAAGTCTTACCTTAGGATCTTAGATCAACCGTAGATCTAGATTCCCTTGTAGGTCCACCATAGACCTAGTTTTTGGTAGAACGGATGTAGGTCTTACCTTAGGATCTTAGATCGACCGTAGATCTAGATTCCCTTGTAAGTCGACCGTAGACCTAGTTTTTGGTAGACCGGCCGTAGGTATTACCTTAGGATCTTAGATCGACCATAGATCTAGATTCCCTTGTAGGTCAACTGTAGACCTAGTTTTAGTAGACCGATCGTAGGTATTACCTTAGGATCTCAGATCGTCTGTAGATCATCTTAGAACCTGAGATCGCCCATTGGCTGGGTTCTTCCTCAGATCATCATAGAACCTGAGATCGCCTGTTGGCTAGGTTCTTCCAATAGATCATCGTTTTAGAACCTGAGATCGCCCATATGCTAGGTTCTTCCAATAGTTCATCGTCTTAAAACCTGAGATCGCCCGTAGGCTAGGTTCTTCCTCAGATCATCATAGAACCTGAGATCGCCCGTAGGCTAGGTTCTTCCTCAGATCATCATAGAACCTGAGATCTCCTGTTGGCTAGGTTCTTCCAATAGATCATCGTCTTAGAACCTGAGGTCGCCCATAGGCTAGGCTCTTCCTCAGATCGTCATAGAACATGAGATCGCCCATAGGCTAGGTTCTTCCAACAGATCATCATCTTAGAACCTGAGATCGCTTGTTGGCTAGGTTCTTCCAATAGATCATCATCTTAGAACCTGAGATCGCCCGTTGGCCAGGTTCTTCCTTAGATCATCATAGAACCTGAGATCGCCTGTTGGCTAGGTTCTTCCCTAAATCATTTTAGAACCTGAGACCGCCCGTAGGCTAGGTTCTTCCAATAGATCACTGTCTTAGAACCTGAGATCGCCCGTAGGCTAGGTTCTTCCTTAGATCATTGTAGAACCTGAGATTGCCTGTAGGCTAGGTTCTTCCTCAGATCATCATAGAAACTGAGATCGCCTATTGGCTAGATTCTTCAAATAGATCTTGTCTTAGAACTTGAGATTGCCCTTAGGATAGGTTCTCCGACAAATCACTCTCATGTTTCACCTTAGGATTGTCGGTCGCTCGTAGATCTTATCCGTTGTCTTTTCGTATCAACCTTTGTCTTGTATTGGCATCACGCTATGTTGAAAGTCCAACCTCCATCTTGTATTAGCCTTTGTTGCTACGTTACGAGTCTAATCTTCGTCTTTTCACTAAAACAATAAAAATTCTTTCCCCAACAAATATCACAGAAACAAATAAACACTTACACTTTCTCTCAGAACAAATTTTTGGCATTGGTATTTAATCATCTTCTACCTTGAACTTCCGAAAGGTACACGCCAATCGTGCTTTCAGGTTTAAGACGATTAAATAAGGGAAGTTGTAATACCCCGAATTTGTCCTACCCTCTCTCTTTTATATGGCTTATGCATCTCGCATTTTTCTCAAATATATAACCTTCATTAGGTTAGATAACTCCTCATGCATCATTCATCAACAAATTTTGCATGGGATCAATGTTCATGAACGGGATTAGGGTTTTGTCAATTGACTGAGGTGTATATGTTCAATAAAGCTTGATTCTTCTGGTTATTTTTCAAGGCAGTGAAATTGTGGAAGTAGGGTTTTATGTTCATGGATGTTATTGATCTTTTCTTCATCAAGCTACAAGGTCATCCTCCATTAAGAATTCATCAAGTACAAGTGGATTAGGGTGTCACATCTTCTATGTGTGAATTCGTAATATCTATCGACTGGGGTTCATTGAGCTTCAGATTACATTTCTTTCTATACCTCAAGGCGCCCTCAAGGCATTGTTATTATTTGTTACTTCAATTACAAGAGGTGGGGCTAAGAGGGAAATTAAAAGTTGTTGCAAGGGGGAGAGATTAACATGGTTTGGCTTTTATGGATCCGTTATTTAGAATCGTTTGAAGTGCTACCTAATGGCATGTATTAGATTTTCTTGGAGTTTGTAAAATAAGAAGGGAATTTAGATTTCTTGAAGAGCGAGTGAAATTATATAATCATTAACAAAGTATGGTCATGACATTAAGATAGGTTCAAGCTGAATTCAAAATGGTTATAGTCAAACAAGGTTTATTCAAAGGTCATCCATAATTCTCAAGACGACTTTGTAAAATCAAACAACTTGGTTCAATGTCCATCAAGGGTTTTTTACAAATTCATTCAAGTGTCTAAGGCATTACAAAGGCCAAGAAAGCTCATTCAAGTTCATATCACAAAGCAAAATTTCAAATACATATAGCATCTAAATTCCATCCAATTACATTCATAATTACACAAATGTTTTTGGTTCTAAGCCTAATCCTAAACATGCTCTTCAAGTCTCCAAGTAGCTTCGTTTTATCTTCATGATTTAACCTTCTCTTGCTCCCTTCAAAAGTCTTCCCCGAGCTCCAAGAGCCAATTGAATCATGTCAAGACAACCCTGTACAAATTCGATCCAAATAAACACCTGCTTCCCAAATTCGCATAGCCCTGCAAACATAAAAAACAGTCCAAAAAAATAACATCCAACTAATTTTCTAACTGCATAACAGTCCCGCCTGTAACGGAAACAGAGTTTAACAAACTCAGTATAACTGATTTCATAACCTGCTTTAACTGCTACTAGAAATCCAAAACAGTCCTCTAACAACCTCTTAATCGATTTACAACTGAATTGCCATACTTCTTAACTGTTAATACAGAAAACCAACTACAAAAAACTAGCCCCTGCATTAACATAACAGTTGGCCTGCAGGAAATTGAGAAGGGATTAAATCATAAAAATACAGTCACGCAGTCAAGGAAATTCTGTCTAAAAAATAGTTAACTCAGCTCATTCCTAAACCACCCTGCATAACAGAATTTCCTAACAGCCATAAATAATTCTCCAATTTCTTCTAATCATTTTGTTACCGTCAACCGTAACTAAACCCCTAACCAACTATAACATCTTTAACCATAACCCCTAACTGTCCCAGCAGAAAAAAGCTTAACAGAATTGCTAACCTCCATCAACCTTTAACAGTCCAACAAACTTTCAACCAATAATCTAACATCATCAAACAAAATTCCAAAACTTCTTCTAACCATTGTTTCCCAATTGTCAAAACAGAATAACTAACTATCTTAACTAAGTGACTTCGAACGGTTTCAACTGACCTGTAACCAACTCCTATTCTCCTAACCAAATTCACTAACTGTCCATAACAAATTGGAAAAAATAGAGAAAGTGACAGAATAACACGAGGGAGCAATATTCACGACTGAAAAACTCAGAGAGACTTTATTGATTGAATTCAACAGAAAAAGATAACACAAATACTCACCAGAATCTCTCTATCTCTCTCAGAATCGAGTTGAATCTTATTTAAATTTCATCACTCCTTCATCATCTATTCAACCTCAATCCTCTAACACTCTTCTCACTATGCTCCATCACTGCAACGTCCTTCATCTTCATTCAACCTCACACGCAACAACCACAGCGAAAAATAGCATCATAATAGCGGACTCAAATAAGACAAAACAAAAGAAGTGGAAGAAGAAGAAACAAGAAGTAACGATCATAAGTAGTTTGGAAGCTTAGTATTACCTGGTATTCACTGAAGTTCATCGGGTTTCTCGTTACATTCACTGCGTCTGAAGCATCGTCGGGGTGTTCCCGATAGGTGAGCTTCGATCTCCTTTCGTTACTCATATTTTTACATTATACTTGTTACCATAGTGAGGCTGAAGACTCCATAATCATTCCTCTAAGGCTATGCACCGAGATTCATAATCATGGACATTTTATCGTGTTGATTCACACTTCTAGGGTTCACGAATTCCTTTAGATTTAGGGGAACTGGTGAGAAATTAATGAAAACGTTGTTGGATTCCTATTGAGAGGGTTGGGACGAAGAAATTGGAGTGCGTTTTTAGCCTTACAGTCATTCGATAGTGGTGACGACGGCTTCGGCTCGCCGGAAATCGCGAGAGAGGAAGAGAGAAAATGGTGAATTGAAGGGACATGAAGAGTCTCAAACCCTAAATCTGTAAGCGGTGTCGTTTAGCAATTGTGTATATTTCTCTTAAAATTTTGTTTTTTTAATAATCAGAAAATTGAAAACAATTGGATATACTGATGGATTGTGAATGCAATGTATCTCTATCATTTTAATTTTTATTGTAATTAAGTTTTATTTTAATCAAATATCAATAAGAAATTTTTTGAAACAAAAAAGGGCTGAATGGGTTTTGGGCCATGGATAGTAGGCTTGCTCTTTCTATACCTATGTACTCATCCTCATACCTCTAGGCCTAGCTTTAATTTTCATCTTTGTTTTACAATTTTTGAGAGATTAATTTTGATTTTTTTTAATGATTTTCTTGCTGAAAATTTTGTTGATGATTATATGTTGATTCCTGACTTATTGATATTTTTTTAATAATTTTTCTATTAGCTTAGGATTTAATTGAATTAATGTTTAGTATATGATCACAAATAGGATTTTAACGCGTTCTTGTCGATTTTGTATCCTTGATTCAATTCCCTTGGCATGATGAGTAGTTTAGTGGTGGGTTCTAATCCTTGAACAATGCCCTGTTATTTTTGACGCGTTTGTTCATTATGCAAGGTACATTTTGGTGCTTTCGATCATATAACATAACAATTGTTATGTGATTGAAACATATGGCTTATGCTCACTTCCGATGCGACATGCCTCATTTCTCATCGTCATGAGAAATTCATATCGTATTATATGTTGTCCTAATACATGCAATACTTTATGATGTCTTGTGCAGGATATTCTGATTACGCATTGCATTCGCAACACGTGTTTGCCTTTATCTTAGTTGGATATCGTTTCTAACTTTGTTTGTTTCGTGGTGAAGCTTGCTCGACACGCACTCCTTGCTTCTCCAGTGCTTTCGTATGCTCTTGACGACTTACTCACTTTCGTAGTCGCCGCTACTACCTTCATACTTCTTCGCACTTTACTGCATTTGTTTACCGCTTTTCTAGATACCATGAGAAGTAGGAAATAAAGAGCGTGCGCTCGAAGTCGCTGTTTAAAGACCTGTAGCATGCATTCCGCACTTCATTTGCTATATGTGTTGTGCTTGTGTTTGTTTCTTTGGTTGTTGATCGATGAGTCACTCGACTTAGTAATTGAGATCACGACTTCGCTCTCAGTGCATGCTCCCTATAGGATTTTATCGCTTTATTTTATTTCTTATTGATCGATGAGTCACTCAATTTATAAATTAAGATCATGACTTCGCTCTCATTGCATGTTCCCTATAGGATAGTTTTGCTAGACTTTCTTTGGCATGCTAACCTAGATAGGATCTCTCTAGGTGTGTTCTCTTGAGTTTATTAGCTTGTTTTCTTTATCCTTGTACATACCATGTTCCCTTAGAATGCGCTTGCTCCGTTCGAATGTAAGTTAGACCTTAGGTTGTAAACCATGCATGCTAACATTAGGTAGATGTTTCCCTTTTGTTCATCCTTGACATAGGGCTACCATTGTATGATAGCACTAGGTTAGAAATAAGCTAGTCTCCCTTAGACTCCTTTCTTCCCTTTTTTGCATCCTTGCATCTAAAACTAAAACCTCTTCCTTGGCAAATTATAAAAACATGTTAATCTCACTTAAACCCTTTTTCGAGGTAACAAAAACACAAACCAATTCAAACATTTTCGTGCGTCCAAGCACCTTTTCTCTAAAACCCTTTTTAGGTAAGGACATGGTTAATTTACTTATGTGTCAATGCATAAGTTTCCAAAGGTCGAGCTGCGGCAGAAGGCGGAATTAACATCATCCATAAAAAACACAAACAAACAAAAAAATGTGAGTTGAACTACGATATCTTTGATTCCTCAAAAAGGATACGTAGGCATTGGGGTAGGGCCCAAGCAAGTACAATTTTATTTTCCCTACATTGTTTTCTCATCTCTTTTGCATGCATTCTCCCTTTATCAGTAGTAAACAATAAGCATAGTTTAAACACACCCATAAGATAGACAACAAGAATGGATACCGTAGAGTACTACGGGTGTGTGGGGTGCTAATATCTTCCCCTCACATAACAAACTCCCTTACCTGATCTCTCGGTTGCAAGACCGTGACTTCTCCCTTCTTAGGTTTTCTCGATGTTTACCTTTCCCTTCATATGGGATAAAATACGTTCGATGGCGACTTCATTGTTTGATGATTTTCATCCGGTTGTTTTAGTAGTCATTCAAAAATTCACTCTTAACATCCATCTGATACAAGATGGTGTTGTGGTTAACAAACAAACGAAATTAAGAGACAAACAGATTCTAACCTGGAAACTGGTGCAAAGGTTTCTGTATAGTCAGTCCTTTCTTGCTGAAACCAGTTAATCCTTGTTTCTTACCACTTCTCCTTTTTCGTTGAGCTTGTTTCTGAAAACCCATTTGGTTCCAATCACATGAGTTCCTTTGGGTCTTAGCACAATATCTCATACATCATTGATGGAGAATTGATTCATCTCTTCTTGCATAGCCATAATCCATAATGTGTCCATAAGAACTTCATCGACAGATGTAAGCTCTATAAGGGACACCAAACCCAAAAGCGTCTCTTCAAAGGTTTGAAAGAGGATCTGGTTTGACTAGTTCAAATCTGTCGCCCATAATCAATTCTTCAAAGTGTGAGGATCTGGTTTTGTGCTTTCTCAGAGGAGTCCGAGCTTCAATAGCTTCTGATTGAACTTATTCAGAGCCATTCTTCTTTGGTTCCTTTATAGTAGTATCATTACCTTCTAAGTCTGAAAAGATAATCTTTAGATCTGGAAACTTTTCAACTAGCTTTCATTTTTTAGAGTCAAGCTTATCATCGAATCTAGCATGAATAGATTCTTCAACAATAAGAGTTTCAATTTTATAAACTCTATAGCCTTTTGAGCATTCATATTATTCTAACATGATACATTTGTGTGCTTTAGAATCAAACTTGTTAAGGTCTCCTTAGTGTTCAAAATAAAAATCACATCCAAAAGAATGAAAATATGAAATGTTGGGTTTTTTGTTCTTCCACAATTCATAAAGAGTCTTACCCATAATATGTCTTATGGAGACTCTGTTCTGAATGTAACACATTGTGTTGACGACCTTTGCCCATAAGTGTTTTTCCATGTTAGTCTCGTTGATCATGGTTCTGACCATTTCTTGCAAAGTCTTATTCTTCCTCTCTACAGCTCCATTTTGTTGTGGAGTTCTATGGTAGGAGAAATCATAGGAAATGCCATTTTCATCAAAAATCTTTTCAAAGTTTTTATTTTCAAACTCGCCACCATGATCACTTCTGACTTTGACAATTCTGAGATCCATCTCATTTTACACTTGAGAATAGAAGGTAGTAAACACAAAGTGTGACTCATCCTCGTGTTTAAGAAAAAGAACCCATGTCCATCTGCTATAGTCATCAACAATGATTAATCCATACTTTACCATTGACTGACGCAGTTTTCACTGATCCAAACAAGTCAATTTGAAGAAGCTCTAAAGGCCTAGAAGTAGAAACAACATTCTTTGTTTTAAAATAAGTTTTTGAAAAATTGCCTTTTTGACATGCTTCACAAAGAGCTTCTGAAGAGAACTTCATATTTGGAAGGTCTCTGACAAGATCAAAATTATTTAGCTGAGAAATTTTTCTCATGCTAACATGGCCCAGACATCTATGCCAGATCCATTGCTCTTGATTAACAGACATAAGGCGTTTTACATTTTTCTCTTTAAGATCATAAAGTATAATCTTATAGATGTTGTACTTCTTCTTGCCATTGAAAATGATCGACCCATCCTTCTGACTAATAGCTTTATAGAATTTTTCATTAAATATTATATCATAACCATTGTCACTTAATTGGATTACAATAAATTATGCATCAATCTGTCAACAAGCAAAACATTAGTAATAGAAGGGAGAGAATCATTACCAATTGTTCTAGAGCCTATTTTCTTTCCTTTCTGATCAACTCCAAAACCCATGAAACCTCGGGGCTTAAGTTCTAGGCTTTGGAACATATGTCTTCTTCCCGTTATATGTCGTGAGCAGGCAGAGTCCAGGTACTATGACTAGTGTCTTAACTTTACTGCTAAGGATATCTGCAACATAGATTATTTGCTTCTTAGATACCCATAGCTTCTTGGATCCTTTCTTGTTAATCTTCACATAGTTGTTTCCAACCTTGAGCTTAAGAGCAGGATAAACATATTTAATTGCATTTTTGAAATGCGACTTTGGTTTAGGTTTATCCTTACACTACTACAAACAACGCTTCTAACATCGGGCGTGAAATGAGATTTACCTCAGCAGTAGATGTGAGGTAAATAAGGTCGTCATAAAAAGTAAATACTTATCATCTCGATGTTTAAAATATTGAGGTAAAATTTTATTAGTGCATGGGTTTGAACCCCATCAGCATCAAATTTTATTATTTTCAAAAGTAGCATATCTTTTATCTCGATTTATCAAAATAACTGAGGGGTATGATTAATTATTTAAAAAAAAAATTATTACATTGTTTACCTAGAATATTACATTGTTTACCCATAATATTAAAATTAAAATTAAAATCAAATTCCCTAGGGATTTAGATGAAAAATCAAATTCCTTGAAGACCTAGATTTTAGATCTTCAAATTGTTGAATCTAGGTGAAGATAAAATGTTGGACGCAAGATTATT